AAAAAAATATGAACGTAAAAAAATACCATGGAAGGAGTCTGATCCAGATTCCGGTTGTCTTTTGCCGAAGCTCAGCCTGTGGCACAGGATGAAAAACGTTGGAAGCTCTGTCTGACGCGTCTTCCTCCGCGACCCGAAAGGAGAAGGGGCGATGGAAGATGAAGAAGAAGAAGATGAAAAAAATAACATATATCATCAGTTGGTTTAAAAGCGTTTTCGTTTTCGTAGCATATTAAGACCAGTGGAAGTCGAAAACGTGACGCCTCGATGCATGCAAATTTATTTACCCCTCGTCAGACTTGTTTTTCGAGGATTTTATGCAGCGTTTCATGAGCACCGATCTCATCCGAAATTAGTTTCTGACGACTGTACCATCTGACTGCATCTTTGAATAGATTATTAAACATTTTCTGTAATGACATAAGCAATTTATCATTACCTGCATTAACCGGATCGGTTTTGGTTGAGGGATTTGAATCTGGACAACGTAATGCTTGACATCGAGGGTCACATCCGTCTCACGGACACTGCCATGTGCAAAACGGATATGAACCGCGAACACGATAAGGCTAGCACATTCTGCGGAACGTCCGACTACGTCGCTCTAGAGGTGATAACCGATAACTCGACTTCAAACACCTATCAGCATAGCGAGTTTCAGATAATAATAAAAGGCAAACTATACTCGGAGGCGGTAGCTTTCAGGTCGTTGGGCGTGCTGCTGTACGAAATGCCTGCTGGTCAGTGGCCATTCCACGGAGCTGTACGAATCGATCAGAAGCGAGCAACCTGCACTTCCAAAATCACTCAGCACGCATGTTGTCAAATGCCTTCGTTCAGAAGGCGAAACTACGGACAGTTTTTTGAGTAGTCGATTACTCACCGTTGGTTTTCAACTGTTCGATCGACAAGGCATGCCAGACTGCCTGAGGGCTCCATCAGATTGCACCCGTTGTTCTGCGATATCGACTGGAACAAGGCGAACAGCCGACAATTAACGCCCCTTACACGTTACCGACGGTAGGCCAATTCATAGGCAGCGACAGAGCAACAGTCTGATGCTCAGGTTGGCGGACCAGAAGGCACCCAATTCAAAACACTGCTGAGTTGGTTGACAATGAACAGTCACCTGCTTGTGATAGAACGAATTCGTTGTTATAGGCATCTTATTTGGTCAGAAAATTTCAATGATTAGATCCAACGCACTAAATTTGTCAAGGCGTTCTCTATTTCGTACGTGTTGTTTTTTTGACGCGCAAATATTATGTATTGATAATCGTTTTGATGGATCTCTCAGTTTCTGTACTGGCATCATGTACGAGAAACGTTCTGGCGATATTTGGCATTGTTTTAATGAATTAGTTCACTTGTGCTTTCCTAATTCCATATTGGCCTTCTTTTCTCACGAGGCAGTCAATGACTGAAATACGGGTCATAGGGTAGGACGTAGCATGATGAAATGTGTCGTATAGTCTTCATTCGAACACGAGATGGTACTGGTAATGTAGTAGAGTAGTAGTAGTAGTGGAGTGGTAGTAGAGTGTAGCGGAGTAGCAGAGTAAATGGAGTCTTACCGGTGTTGATTCATGAAATAATTTGCTAATAAGTTTATTATATTGGCTCAATATGCAAATCACTGATTTAACTTTCAATCACCTTCAGTATCTTTTATAATTTTGCGTTATTGACTAAGACCTGTAATGATATAGGTCCGATTGCGGTGGTTTGAGTGCAAGAATCCTAGGAACTGCGTACTGGTTTCAAAGATATGCTTGAAACATTTCAGAGAGCGTAAACTAAAATACGGAATGGATGTGGGAAGCATGTTTTACTGTGAAAAAAAAACCTGCGGACTTAGAAGAACTATCAGGAGATTAGCTTAAAGGTAACGTTGGTCGTCAGTCACGCAAATATTTAAATGGGTGCGACAACGGGGATTTATTTATCCCCTTGTGAAAATAAAAAAATAAATGAGCAAATAAGACTGAACTGAATCTGAATAAAAACGTTCGCGTCAACCTCTATGTACCAAAGTTTAAAAAGACAGGAAAGTCAGCTTTCTTGCTCTTTTCCACCTATTTGCAAGGAATATGTCAACAGGGGGCTGCATTGTATCCCTTTGAGTGGCTACGCCGTCTCTACACCGTTTATCAGCTACCTTGTCAACAAAACAGCCAGCTGAAATATGAAATGTAACAATAACAGCAGCAGTAAAGGGAGCGTAACGTGACTCATCAGACAAAATGACACATCGTATATCTAGGATTCACGTGTTCCAACGCCATGGAGAGATGGCTTGCATAAGTGGTCCCCTAATAAACTACAAGTACTGCTAGCAGGAGATCAGTACAAGGCTCCATGAAATCCTTTCGCCACACAATGCAACAACATCGTTCGTATGGTATTTTTTAGTAATTATGATAAACTAAAACGCATTCTTAGGAAGTCGTATAAATTCTATCTTTCAATTCGGAGAATACTGAATCTTTCTACAGTAAGACTGCAAGCATGTGGCAAAACATCATGCACAGTGACAGCACAAAGGTCGTGGCTATCGCGATTCGTCAAATACTGACCTTAGAAGTTCTAGCTTAAATTTAGAGGTTTTAATTCTGATTATAATTAACTTTATTTATACGTTTTTACTTCCATGTGTCCATTGACTTGTGACCTGGTTTCATAAGCATGGCTTGCTATACTGTAATAAAGCAACCATTCAT